AATAAACAGGGAAGTAAAATTAAAATTATATAGTCATGATTAGAGCAAGTAAAGTGTATAAATTTTTAGGAGTATGGTTTGATGATAAACTAAAATGGAATGTACATATTCAGAAAGTTGTCGATAAAAGTAAGAAAATCTTAAATATTTTGAGATGCTTGGCTGGCAGTGACTGGGGAGCAGATAGGCAATCTTTGAGACAGTTTTATACAGGTATGATAAGAGCTAACATAGATTTTGGTTGTATTGTTTACGGTTCAGCAGCGAAAGTACATTTGGTTAAATTAGATGTAATACAACATCAAGCATTAAGATTATGTTCTGGAGCATTTAAAACCACAGCAAGAGCAGCAATGGAAGTAGAGATGGGAGAAATGCAGTTAGATTTAAGAAGATTAAGGTTGGAATTAAATTATTGGTTAAATTTGCAAAGCAATAATATTGATCATCCGGCTAGGGAAATTTTAAAACCATGTTGGGAAAAAGAAACAAAAGAAATGGGGAGTTTGGATGGACAATTGAAAATAAAATAAAAGAATTTAACATGAGTAGTTTGGAAATTAGTCATAAAACACCAACATCAGTAAAACCACCATGGATTCTACCAGAAGCAACAGTAGATATGACAATAATGGATAAGAAACAGGATAAATCTTTCATCATTGATAGTAGTTCAGTGCAGGTACTTTTAAACAATTACTATCAGTATATTCAAATCTATACAGATGCATCAAAAATAACTGGAAAGTAGGTATAGCGTTGTAGTACCAGAATTCAATATAAGAATAGGAAAACAAATTACAGACGGATTATCAGTGAACACAGGAGAAATGATGGCAACATTAATATCTTTACAATGGGTAGAAGAGATAAAACCATTAAAAACAATAATCTGTTCAGATTCAAGATCTGCTTATTAAGTATTAAAAACAAGCAATCGGATAGTAGAATGGACATTTTATTAGAAATATTTCACACATTATATAGAATAAAAAATATGGGGGTGATAGTTAATTTTGTTTGGGTTCCAGCACATATTGGAATAGAAGGAAATGAGAGGGCAGATAAATTAGCAAATGGGGCAATTCAAAATCCAATTAGCATTAAAGTTAAAACAAGTAAAGCTGAAGGAAAGAGTATAGTTAAGGAAAAACTGAGGGAAAAGTGGCAGGAAAGGTGGATGAAGAAATAACAGGAAGACGGTTTATAAGATTCAGAAGATGGTAGGAGAAAGAAGAAAGGGAAGAAGAAATAGAAAAGAGGAAAGAGTGATAACAAGGATAAGATTTGGGCATACAGGACTTAACTACTCACTTTTTAGAATTCAAAAGCATGAAACTGGTAAATGTGAGTATTGTGGAGAATGGGAAACATAGAACATGTTATTCTAGAATGTGATAAATATGAAAGAGAGAGGAGATATATGAAAAAAGAGTTTGAAAGTATTAAGGAAAAATTTAATTTAATAGATATTTTGAGGAAGAGTTTTGAGAGCAAACATATACAATAGTTATTGGATTTTTAAAGAAAACTAAGATATTCAGTAGAATTTGATAGAGTAGACATAAGTTAATGTATGGATGATAGTGATGAGTAGAATATAAATATGGATGTAAGTATGTATGTGTAGGTATAAATATAAATATGTTTTTTCTTTTTTTTTGTATGTATGAATATATATAGGTATATATATACAGAGAGAGCGTTAGACCAACACGAGCCACACTCCATACCAGTAAGTGGCGTAATGCTACTCTAAGTTTTGTTGCCAACCGCCAATAAACACAACAAGAAGAAAAAGAAGAAGAAGAAGAAGAGAGAGAGAGAGAGAGAGAGAGAGAGAGAGAGAGAGAGAGAGAGAGAGAGAGAGAGAGAGAACTGGTTCTGCAGCCACGGGAACTGACACGATGTGGGGAGCAGACGGAGCCCGCTCATCCGGCACAAGCGATCGAGAGTTGCACAGACGGCCCAGTACAGAGAATAAGTAAAGTTCCTTTCTGGTCGAGCTGATCCTGCAGAGTGCTGACAAAAAGCACGTCTTCCGACGGAGTTCTGGTGCGGGGATGCTGGCGCTTTCCTGTTCTTTCCTTCTAGTTGGACCGAAACGTAAGGGGGCGTGGCACGCCGAGGAGTGGAGCGGTGGTGGAGCGCTGTGCGGCCGGCTGTAGTGCGCGCTACACATAGATCACCGCCACGAACAAGAAAATAAGCGGAGCCCAACCTGTGGCCTTCAACGGGTGACTTTTTTTATGGAACACTGGATTTTATAAAGAACAGTTTTTATTGTGCCACTACTTGTGACTCTTTTGATTAAAATACCTTTCACCTGACCGCAACGCTGTTTGGGTTTTTCGAGTTGTTTGCTCCCCCTTGTGTTGAAGACGGACTGTGGGCCAATTTGGCCTCACATCCGTTTCTTCCAATTGGTACTCCACATCATCTTCTCCTCAGAGGCCTGCTCATCTCCATCGCTAAATCCTGTGTGTCCTCTGCCTCATTTGCAGCAAAGATGTGATCCAAAGCTTCATTTACAGTGAATCTTCTCCTCATTGTTGCATCCTGTGAATTGGAGATGTGTTCTCTGCAAGTCACCACCTCTACACTCAAATGGCTTGACATGCCTGGACACGTCTCCCTTTGTTTGTTCTCCAAAAGGCAAAGAGAAAAGCCCCTAAATGAAGTTCAAGTGGTTGGAGGAAGAGGCTGTTGGTTGATTGTGTGTTTATGATTTCATTTTTGGCATTTTGTATTGTTTTATAATCAAAAATTTTAACCGGGTCTAAAATGACCCGAACACCACAAAAGTCTTTTTTTTTTCACCAGAGCACTTTATAATTTAGTAAAAAAAAAAAAAAAAAACTGATTTTATTTTGTTTAAATGGTAGTCCCTTACAAAGTCAAAAAGTTTCAAGGCAAAAAACAAATGTATGAAGTATTTTTATGCATGTCAAAACTCAAAACGGGTCCATATGGACCCTAAACCATAGGAAGGTCAAGACATTCGGCACTTACTCAGGGTATAAATCACATTTACAGAAACACAAGTTCTCTCATTTAACTATCAACCGTCACCAAGAATTCAGAAAATGTCCCGGTTCAAGTGGCTCAATAAATCTATAAATATCTGGGAGTTAAAGTCCCTGTAGAGTTATGCAACCTGTTTGAATGCAATTACATCCCACTGACAACAGAGATGAAGGCAGATCTACAGCCTTGGTCTTTGTTACCCATTAACTTACATCATGGAATAGATATAATAAAGATGAACCTTTGACCAAAGATCCTTTATCTTTTTCAGGCTCTGCCTATAAAGATACCTGACAAACAATTCCTCCAATGGGACAGAATAATCTCACATTTGAGATGGATGTCAATCCCTTATTAAAAACAGATTCTGACCTCATTCCATTACGGCTAAAAGTGCCGTTGGACACATGGCAGAAAATATTAAAGCAAGTAAAGATTGAAAGAAGAGCTGGAATTTTAAGATGGCCTGATTATGATAGAGATTTTCTCCCTGCAAGAATGAATAAGAGATTTTTACACAGTGGTCACAAAAAGGCTTCACAAGTTACTGGAAGCTTACAAGCAATAGAGAATTAAAAAGTTTTAAACCACTTCAAGATCACTACGACCTGGAAAAATGTGACATTTTTAGATATCTTCACTAAAGCATCACTACAATAAAAGTATAAACTTGTGCAGGAGGATGAGACTTAAAATCCTTTTAGACTCAAGCAACAGAAAACCTCCCAAAACACAATATCCAAACTATACTCATGTCTACAAGCAGAGAGGAAATGTAACAACATATCTTCAGGTTAAATGGGAAAAAGAAGCCAAAATATGGATAACTGATGATGTTTGGTTAAATATATGCAATTCTGTGATTCACACCTCAAGTTCCAGCCTGGAAGGAATTTTCCTGGAAATTCATGATGAGTTTTTGTTGCACCTGATATTAAAAGCAAACATTGTAACGACGCTGAAAAGGCAAAATGCTGGAGGAACTGTGGGAATGTGTCTGCAGGACATTTTCATGTTTCTGGGAATGTATTAAGATCGCCCCCTACTGGTCAGAAGTCATGAAAGAAATCCTTATTAAAATGGGCTAAAATTGACGCTGTGGGTTTCCTGTGGTTTTCCTGGTAATTTACCCAGGAACTGAAGACGTCTGATAGAAATCACCTGTTGATGCTATTAGCAGCTGCAAAGAAAGCTGTAACTCGCAGGTGGCTTGATGTGGAACCACCATCATGTTCGGACTGGAAGGACATAATTGAGGAAATTCACAGAATGGAGAGACTGACCTTTTCATTAAGACTTGCCACTTATAAATACAACAGATGCTGGAAGAAATGGATCATTCATCGGAGCCTGACACCAACTGTATAGTTAAAGTAATGACCTTTTCTTTTTTGTTTTGTATCAACTGCTTCTCGTCACATTAGTGGCTCTGTAACTTTAGTTAGAGGGAGTCAAACTGTTCACTGTATGTCTGTGTTCTTGGAAAACTATTAAAACGATAAAAATATCCTGGATAATGACGCCTCAATGTACTTCTGAGTTTAACATGAATACATTAGATTGATGAATTATTTTAAGGAATCCAAGATTTGAATCGCAGCTGTTGAATCTGAATACAGCATCAATTTTATTCAGTATTGATCAGCCAGGAAATTGATATTGATCATTAATATCCAGAAGTACAGTGAGGTTTTTATTATTGATGAAGAACTAAAAGCTTTACTGTGAATGTGTTTATTAATTAGTTCATTCAAAAAACTTTTTTTTTTTTACCAGGAGAATTTCACTTAACACCAAAAACTATCATCATCACCAGTATTGTTGTTTTTCTGAAACTGCAGATGTACATAAAATCCTGCAGAGGGCGCCACATCTCTGCCTCCAGACTGGAATTCCAACAGGAAGTCTTGGAAAAAAATGAGCAGGAAACAGTTGAGATAAAACTGATTGAGTAAACACCCTGAGGAAGAACTCTGACACCTGCCTTCGTCTCCGACTGAAATCAAACTGAACAAGGAGAACAGAGAGAGAACTGGGCAACTAGACACTGGAACACAGACTGCTGCAGGAGGAACAACAAGCAGATCAAAGTGAAAGTAAGTTCAGAAAGTTTCTACAGGAGAGAAACTGACTTCCTGGTTTGACGTTCTGTCTGCTGTGGTTTCAGCTTCACTGTGAGACAAAATGGCTTCCAGATCAGACGATGATCTCTGCTGTCCGATCTGTCTGGAGATATTTAAGGATCCGGTTATTCTGTCATGCAGCCACAGCTTCTGTAAGGAGTGTCTGCAGAAATACTGGAGAGAGAAACCAGGAAGAGAGTGTCCAGTTTGTAAAAGGAGATCTTCTAAAGATTGTCCACCTTTAAATTTGGCTCTGAAGAATCTGTGTGAGACTTTCTTACAGCAGAGAGAGCAGAGAGCTTCAGAGGATCTCTGCAGTCTGCACTCTGAGAAACTCAAACTCTTCTGTCTGGACCATCAGCAGCCAGTGTGTGTCGTCTGCAGTCATTCAGATTTACACATTAGCCACAGATTTAAACCCATCAATGAAGCTGCTCAGCAACACAAGAAGAAGCTTCAGGAAACTCTGGAGCCTTTAAAGAAGAAGCTGGAGCTCAGGAAGAAAGTTCAGGAGGAGTTTGATCAGACAGCAGAACACCTGAAGGTCCAGGCCCGACACACAGAGAGGCAGATTAGGGAGCAGTTTAAGCAGCTTCATCAGTTTCTAGCAGAGGAAGAGGAGGCCAGGCTGGCTGCACTGAGGGAGGAAGAGGAGCAGAAGAGAGGGATGATGAAGGAGAAGATGGAGGCTCTGAGCAGAGAGATAGCAGCTCTTTCAGACACAGTCAGAGCCACAGAGGAGGAGCTGAGAGCTGAAGACGTCTCATTCCTGCACAACTACAAGGCTGCAGTGGAAAGAGTCCAGCGCTGCCCCCTGCTGGAGGATCCACAGCTGCCCTCAGGAGCTCTGATAGACCAGGCCAAACATCTGGGCAACCTGGCCTTCAACATCTGGAGCAACATGGAGACCATGGTGACCTACACTCCTCTGGTTCTCGACCCAAATACGGCTGGATCAGAACTCCATCTGTCTGAAGATCTGACCAGTTTGACTAGAGGAAATTATCAGCAGCTTCCTGATAATCCAGAGAGATTGGATGAATATTACTGGTCTGTTCTGAGTTCTGATGGTTTTACCTCAGGGAACCACAGCTGGGATGTTGATGTTGGAGACAGTTCATCCTGTAGACTTGGTGTGTTAGAAGAGTCTGTTCAGAGGAAGGGAAGCATAAAGTCTGGATGGTTGTTTATACGGTTCAATGAAGATAAATATTCAGCATTTTATCCACCAGCTCCTTCCACTCGTCTCTCAGTCCAGAAGAATCTCCAGAGGATCAGAGTGAATCTGGACTGGGACAGAGGAAAGCTGTCCTTCTCTGATCTGGATACTAACACACACATACACACCTTCACACACACCTTCACTCACAAGATGTTTCCATATTTTGAAACTACTAAAACCTTAAAGATGGAACCGATGAAGATCTCAGTGATCAAGCAGCAGCTCTGATGATCCAAATCAAAACTTATTGATCAGATTGAAACTGTGAGTTTTAAAGAGGAAACTGGAGATGATCTGATCATCTGGAGACTCTTCATCTCTGACTTTCCAACTATTGATTCCATGACAGCAGAAATTAATGTCAACATGTTTAATTAATGCGTCTATTTTTAGCTGCTGAGTGATAAAACTGAACTACTGAATGAATCTGAAATGACCTTTTCACAAAGTAACATGTGGCCTTCCTCAAGGATCAGTTCTTGGACCTAAATTATTTATACTTTATTTCAACAATATTTTGCAGTGTCTAGTATTTTAAAGTTTATAATGTTTTCGGATGATACAAATTTATTTTTTTCAGAAAAAATATGGATGAAATAATTAAAATAGTACAAAAAGAGTTGGTAGAGTTGAAAACATGGTTTGACTATAATAAGTTGTTAAATGAAGGAAAAACTAAATTTATGCTGTTCTCTGGTAATCAGGTTTATAATAATGTACAGTTATGCATAAATGGAGTTGAAGTTGAAAGAGTCTATGAGACAAAATTTTAGGAATTATTATAGACAATAAACTTAGCTGGAAGCCTCATATACAATATATTAGAAACAAAGTTGCAAAAACTATTGGAATATTGTTTAAAATAAAAGATTTAATAAATGTTAAAGGCTTGCATATTATTTATTCTTCTTTGGTTTTGCCTTATTTGTCTTATTGCTCAGAAATCTGGGGAAATGCAGGTGAAACAATTATTGAAATATTAGTTAAGCTGCAAAAAATGTAAGGCTTATTAATAAAGTGGGATACCGGGAACCAACGGATAAACAAAGTAATATTTAAAAATTTAAAGATATTGTCTATATAAAATACTGGAAGTAATGTTTAAAGCATTGAACAAAAGTCTCCCTTCAGGTATTCAGAAATTATTTAAGTTAAGAGAGAATAAATACAATTTGCGAGGTTTGTTTATATTTGAATGTGCAAAAGAGAAAAGCCAGATAAAGTCTAGATGTATTTCAGTTATTGGTGTGAAATTGTGGAACGAACTAAGTGATGAATTTAAGTTATGTTCTTTTTAGTAAACTTTAAAAGAGCTTTAAGATGTAAAATGATAAAATCTTACGCTATTATTTAGATTTATATATGTATTGTGAAAATATCCTGGTAGGTTAAAGGGTACAAAAAATAGGGTAGGCAAGAATAAGCTTTGCTTCAGCCTAATCCTTTTTGGTAAATTGTGGGTTATTTATTGTTTATTGTTATTTCTTTGTTGTTTCTGGTGATGTGGACAGTTTACCAAAATAAAATAAATGAATGAAAAAACTGTTGTGTCAAATAGCAGAACCTCCTCCAAACTCCACTTTGGTCTTCTGATTTTAGTTTCATGTGAAGGTCTTTGGTTCAGCCAGCAGGGGGCGCCCAGGCGAGCCGTTCCTGCATCTTTCATGGTTCTGGGATCTTTTAAACATATGAGGCTTTTAAATCCTTTTCCCATGTGAATCCTTCACTGATGGCCTATATAAAGTATAACTGCAATGCTTTGGTCTGATTCCTGGTTCTTGTAGCTCCACAGACCCTCATCTTCCTGTTCTGAGGCCTTTCAGAGCAACTTGTTGGTAAATCCTTTGCTTTGTTGCCAAGTTGTATTAAATGTCCAGTAATCTTTGCTCTGATTGCGGCAGGTTAATTTCTATCTATTTTAATAATAATGGCCTTGTGGTCTGTAAGGATAGAAGCTTGTATCTCTGAGTCCATCACTTTATCTACAATATCCAAAGAAATCAGCCAAAAGTCTCAGTGAGACTGTTGAGATCTGTCCCTGTTCCTCCATGTTAAACACTGGAATCAACATGTTTGTTTCTCCATATATTGATCAGGTCCGTTCTGTTACAGGAAGGTTCTGGACCGGATGCTGATCCGTTTCTTGGTGGCCGTCTGTCTGCTCTCTCGTCCATCAGGGTTAAAATGAATGAATGAAACTTTATTTCCAACATGATAGTCGGATAAAATCCTGCACAAGAACAAGGAATGCAACAGACATATTTTAGTACCTCAGTAATCTTAACATGCTGGAAAAGGAGCAGGAAGAAGGAAGGAACTCATGACCTCTGACCCCATAAACTCGTACAATATTTCAGATGGATCCTCATTAATAAATCAATCAGAAATAACAATAAACTGGTTAATTAATTATCCATTTTATCTGGGTTTACGTGTCTAAATCAGTGGTTCTGAACCTTTTTTGAGGAACTGAACCCACCAGTTTCATATGTTCATTCACTGAATCCTTTAGTGATAAATAAAATATTTATTTTCCAAATTCAAGACATAACGATGTGTTTTTGTTAGTGATGCACAAAATGAGCCATGCATGAACATCACCTTGCTCACAGAATAAAACCAACACAGTGCATCAACTCACCACAAATTATTCTATCTCATTCTGGCCCCTAAAAAACATTTTGGCCCCATAAAAGAATTTCAGCCCTCAAAAATATTTATTTTCTCTACTTTTTGTCTCACCAACCAGCTGAGATCTACCTCAGGAAGATTTACAAATTGCAAATTAAACCCTATTGGCTCATTTTCTATACAAATATCCATCAGTTGTATCAGAAATGATAAAGTGATAGAAAAGCTGCTGCAGTTTGTTCCTCAGTGAGATTCTGACACTGGGAGCAGGTTACTGGTTTCTCAGTCACAAGCTGGTTGCAAACCTGAGGCCAGCAGCTGCCAGTCAGTTCTGGTCGATCTGAACTTTGGTTTGATGACGTCAATATGAGAAACTGCAGACTGACTGGAGGAAGCAAAGAGCTCTGCAGAGGTGAAGGCAAATCTTCTGAATCTGGGATATAATTAATTTAATTTCATATAATTATCGTGGTGGAAGCCATTTGTTTGTTAAACCTTAATAAAATATATTTGTCCTGTTTGATGTTTGTTGTGACGTTTCCTGCAAACAAACGAGGTAATTAGTCAAAGTTTGTCGTTTATTGATGGATCAGAATCACAGCAAGTAAACAAGGTGAACCAACCTGAACAGGTGATCAACTCAGAACCAATCGCACCTTTTTACTCTCTTTCTTTCTTTATCGTTAAACACACCTGGCGCCGTGGCAGCCGCCTGCGCCCTGCAAGCCGAGCAGAGATTACAATAAAAACCTTCAGTTTGTTATGATATCAGGTTTCCAGGCTTGATATTTTGATATTGATCATTAATGAGCCTCTCATGAACACAGCGGCGGCTGATTGGCTCATTTAAACTCCTGATCTGCTGTCAGTTTGTCTTTGAGTCGCTTTTTATCTGTTAATGGAACCAAAACACAATGAATTGCTACAAACGTTTTGGATCTTGGTGAATATTTTGATCAGCCTGTCAGAAGAGGAAGTTCTGGTCTCAGCTTCCTGGAGGCCTTCAGTTTGTCACCTGCTGCAGATATCCACTCAAAACCTTCCAGACGTTTTGAGCTCCCTGTTGTACATGTTCGTCCGACCGCTTTCTTTTTTGCTCGACATGTTTAGTACGGATTGAAATACTGAGAAAGAAACCACAAGACATACGACTACGACAGCCGTTGACTACTGCGCTCGCTAAATTCCCCGCAGCACTGATTGGCCAAGCAATGATCCTCTGCAGCAAGTGATGGTCAAGCAGGGCGCGTCATCACGACTTTACACAAGTGTGTCTTTACCTCTGCGGCAGAGACTCCACCGAACCCCTGAGATCGAATCATTGAACCCCTGGGGTTCGATCGAACCAGGTTAAGAAACACTGATCTAGAGGAGCAGCAGTTTTAATATATAATAGGCTGAATTTTAAGTTCTCCTCTCAAGTTAAAGACAAAGACGGACAGGATTAATAGACCATAAAGAAGTCACCTTACTGAATGTGTATAGACCACCCAGAAACAATAAACAACTCATTAGGAACATTTTTGCCATGATTGCAGCAGAAGTATCTGGGATATTGATATGCAGGGGAGACTGGAACCTTTTCTGGACTCATCTGGCAAAATTACAAAGTCTCAGACAGAAACAATAAACATCAAAAGTCTGATTAAAGAACTAGTGATGGTGGATGTATGGAGGAACTTACAGCCCAAGATAAAAATACTCCTTTTTCTCTTATTCTCATCAGATCAAGATTAGATTATTTCTTCATTAAAATGTTGATAACAGAATAATACATGGTGACATGGTGAGAGATATCGGATCATGCAGAGAGTTTATGACACTTCATCTGGATAATGATGGCAAAGAAACCCTGTGGAGGTTTAATAATAGTTTATTAAACATTCAGAGAGAAGAAAACGGGAAATTAACGGTTGAACGGATGTGAAGCTGCTTCAGACCCAGATGACCCGGAAACTAAATCTGAATCCGGTTCCCTTCATCCATCTTTCCTGGGATTGTAAACTAGTGGACTGTTTTAGAGACATGCATCCTGGACAGGAGGGCGTCACCTGGGTCAGCAATGACGGCTCTAAAGCCTCTCGTATCGATTATTTCTTATCAGGAATCGCGCCCTGATCGATGCTGGATTGTCATCGGCTTTCTTTTCCCATCATCTCCTTCCTTCCTACAGGATTTCGCTCCCTTCAGGTGTGACGACCGGGAGAGGTCTGTGGAAACTCAACCGCTCCCTGCTGGAGGATCAGGTTCTGGTCGGCCAGTACATGGAGCGGTACCGCGAGAGGCAGACCCTCCAAGACCTGCATGACACACGAGCACAGTGGTGGCAGATGGTGAAAGGTTGGACCCAGACTTTCTTCCAACAAGCAGGAAAAAGAAAAAGAGCAGAGATGCATGATGGGGCTGCAGAAAAGATTGCAGAGAAATTATATTTTAAATCAACAAGGTTTGTATTTAAAAGAAATAAGAGAAGTTAGAAAGAAATGAGCATTTTCGCGGAAATAAAGAGTAAGGGAGTCATTTTAAGAAGCAGAGAGAGAAATAGAAGGAGAGAAATGCACAAGATGCTTTTTTATGAAAATAATAAATAATCCAAGTTTCATCCCTGATCTAAAATTAGAAAACAGAAACATTGTTTCAAACATAGAACAAAAGAAAAAAGTGATCGAAAGTTTTATGGTGAATTATATGCAGTAAAAACAGCAAATGAGGAAAATATAAAAGAAAGTAGTTTTTTAGAGCAGGATTTGATCCTTTTAGAGCTTCTACAGTCATTGGAAAGTTTTAGAAGAGGAAAATCTCCGGGCTCAGACGGACTGTCTTAGAATTTCATTTAACATTTTGGGACATTTTAGCTCCTGATGTAATTGTGGTTTTTCCTGATTTGAGCAAACTAGACAAACTGCCCTGTGGTTTCAGAACAGGATCAGTGACGCTTTTATATAAACACAAAACGGATCTTAAAGCTGGAGGCCCATCACCCTTTTAAACGTGGATGGTAAACTTTTTAGTAAATGTTTGGCAGCCAGGATGCACCGAGTGTTGGGGGATCTAATCCACCCGGATCCAGCCTGCGCCGTGCCGGGGAGGGAGATCACGGACAGCCTGGTTCTGATCCGAGACACCATCTGTTTTGCCAGAGACAGAAACAATCGGCTG